ATGGCTTGTGTCAGGCGCACCTTAGTCCTCAAGGAGATATCCTTGCTCCTCAGCACTTGAAACAGTTCCTTCGCAGTTGACTTTCCCAATGCTACACGTTAGCAAATATGCCAACAATTAATTATGGTACATCATGATAAATATAAAATAAAGATATGTACAATAATCTCAAAGATTACTGAAGAAGAAGTAATTTGCCTGGGAGGCAGGGAGAAAAGGATTCTCAGATCAGGTGATGTTTGAATTGGGTCTTGAAAGACAAGTTGATCACTGGGTGAATGACAGCATGAACAAAAGGGTAGACTCATGAAAGAGCTTGCTGTGTTCAGGGATACTCAAGTAATGTGGCTGGACTTTGTATGGAGGGAATAAAGGGATTGAAAGGATGTACTAATTTCCTAGAGCTATTATGATAAAATACCACAAAATGGATGGCTTTAAAAAATGGAAATTTATTGTTTCACAGTTTTGGAGGCTTGAAGTCCAAATTCAGAGCTTTCTCTTTCTTCTGTAAGGGAAGATGCATCCTGTTTCTTCCAGCTTCTAGTAGCCCCAGGCATTTCTTAGCATTGCTTGGCTGCTAGATGCATCTTCATATTGCCACCTTCTCCCTGTGTCTCTGTTTCTGTGTCTCTTCTCCTATGTTACAAGGACACCAGTCATATAAGATTAAGACTCACCTACTCTGTATGACCTCACATTAACTTAACTGATAACACCTTCAGGACCTTATTTCCAAACAAAAGCACATTCACAGGTATCAGGGGTTAGGACTTCAACACATCTTTTTGGAGGACACATTTCAATACATAATGAAGTAGAAAAGTATATCAGGACCAGAGGGGAAAGAGTCCTATATGGCATGCTAAGGAATTGTCACAAAAAGGGCCATGGAGTATGTTTTTAGAAGTTTGGGTTCTGGCATCCGGCAGACTTGTGTTTCTGTCACATACTAACTATGTAACTTTGGGAAAGTCATTCTCTCTAAGCCACAGTCTCCTCAGATATAAAAAGTGGATGATAAAAGTGCCAATCTCAGAAGGTTGTAGCTGGAGCAAGGAAGTGGTAAGCAAGGTTGGGGTGAGGGTAATAATTAGCAGAATAGAAGCAAGACCTGGAAGGCTGCTGCCTCTTCTTCAGAGTGAGAAAGATAGAATCAAAAGGAGTCTCTGAGAGTAAAGCAACTTTAACCAGTCAAGAGGATAAAGAAAAGCTACAATCAGGAGAGTCCAAATGTAGGTCTCCAGATGTAACATATAAAGGAAAAACATTAAGATAAAAAATTATTATTGTTTTTTTCTTCTCTCTCTTCTCACAGGTCAGCCAAAAGAAAAAGCAAAACAAAGGCGGAAAACATCAAAAAATCAAGAAAGTTAAAAAAGTTAGGAAATTTCGGCAGCAGCACCATAAGAAGCCTACATAAGAGGACACTTTACCACCAAGTATTTTGTATTAAAATTTGTTTTAATTGTAATGAGATAATTCCTAAAAAGGAATGCATCCAGTGCACACGCTTGTTGATTTGACTAGAAGATTTTAAATCATTATTGTGTACTTGTAACCAAAGCTACAAAGTTCCTTTTAAAATCCAAATGTTAAGAATTGTTAGGTCTTCTACCCTCAACCAACTGAATTTTATTATGCTTAAGACCATACTTTTAGTGACACCCACACCTGGACAAATGCTCACACAATCTCATCCCACACACAACAGCTGCGTGGGAAAGCAGCCCTAGGCTTCCTAGGGCTCAGACTGCAGCCTCCAGAGAATGTTCTGAGGCATTCGTCAGCAAGCTCCAGGCCACACAGTTTGGGAATGAGCTGGACCTCACCAAGCTGATGTAGCATCAGCATCTGTGTTTCAATCAGTCTACAGGCCTCATATAAAACGTGTTTGAGAGATTGTTGTTTCTGAGGACCACCACTGGGGATCACTATCATTTGTCTTTCAAAACCTTTTATCTGGCTTTTGAGATCCTCCATAATGTGACTCCATCTTGCCTTTCCAGGCTGACCACTTTATTTCTTACTGTGCACCTTTGCTTCGGTAAGCCAGTTCTTTTCCATCCTGCCACAATTCAATACCTGCTTCCTCTCCACCACGCATGCCATGATCATTCAGTCACGTGGGTCTATTCCTTTCTTACCTGTCCCCAACACTGCCATACAAATGCCTTCCTCTAGCCACTCATCCTCACTTGACCCAGTCTTCAAGGCTCAGTTCAAATACTGCCTCCTAAATAAAACCTTTCTGGACATTTTAATTATCTTAAAACTCCTGTTTCACTTGTGATCAGAACCACTGGTAAGCACTTAATTGTTAAGGAATTGATCTTTGTGTTTATTCTATCTCTCCAACCAGATTAAAGGTCAGGGGCCACACTGAATTTCCCTGAATCTGCCCAGTACCAAATACACTGTGGACCCAGGTTTTGAATAATTTCTTAATTGAAGTTGCACCAAGTAGGAGGGCAACCAGATTGTCTCATCAGAGCAGGGGATGGTTATTTACTGGCTACCCACAATCTCTAACCCCTGATAAACTTTTTAACTCATATCTTCACCTCAGGGACCAGAGGTGATGCAATATCTTCATTTTATTATGACAGGATGTTCTTTTGGCCTCTCTAACAAATAAGAAGCACATGTTTAAAATACTTGTGGATATTCCGGATATATTCATAAAATATCAAAGATACCTAAAATCCTAGAATCTTACAATGGGAAAGGAGCTTTAGAGATCATTCATTGTCTGACCTTTCCCTACCCAATATAAAAATTCCTTCAGTACCATTCCTGACAAATTTTAGCTTGTATGATCTAACGAGACAGGCACCAAAACCTTTTGAAAATTTATTTCAGGCAAATATTAATTTCATTGTCCGGTTAACTTGTTTCAGAGTTTGAAAGAATTGTGATTATCAGTTACCACATCAGCTCTCATGGAGCAAGGGGACAGAAAGATACCAAGATCTGGAAGCATGGTGGATGCCGAGTGAACCCCTGTAGGCTTTGGTTAATTGTGTAAGGAGAGGATGTCATTGGCTTGAACTTACACCTATACCTACTTTCCCAAATTTTGTCACTCTTCACTCAAGTTCCAGAATATTTTGAGTGCTTCTCAATGGTGATTCCACCCAGATCCCTTATCTAGTGGTAAGACTCTAGCTAATTCTGTGTAATTCCTTTGAAAAATATAAACATTACATAATTTGAAAATCTGTGACCTAATTACTATGTAACTCACAGGTAAAGTGGACAGGATGTCACTAATTACCAAAAATCACATTTTTTATTTAGTAACTTTGATACACACTCACGCATACATAAATATACATTTTAAGGAGCCCTGGTGATACAATGGTTAAGAGCTTAGTTAATAATTGCAAAGTCAGCAGTTCAAACCCACCAGCCACTCTGTGGGAGAAAGATTTGTCAGTCTGCGTCCATAACATTTACAGTCTTGGAAACCCTATGGAGCAGTTCTATCCTGTCCTTTAGGGTCACTACAAGTTGGAATCCACTCTATGGCAAAAAAAAAAAAAAAATTCATATATATTATTAACAAGGCATAGGGTTAAGTGCTCACCTACTAACTGAAAGATCAGCAGTTTGAACACACCAGCCACCCACAGGAGAAAGATATGGTGGTCTGCTTCCTTAAAGATTACAGCCTTGGAAACCCTAACTCAATGGCACACAATATACATTATAATCACTCGTCATTTACATATGCATGATGAATATTTCTAAGCAAATAATTGTTAAGTTCAAAGCAGTATTGACATATATACCTTGTACTTTAAACTGTTTTCTTTGTTTAAAAGAATGGTATCAATAAATAGCTTCTTGCTCAGAAAATCTTGATTTTTTTTTTAATGTCCTTAAATAGTCCTCAACTTTTGCAAGTTTAACAGTAATTTTCATATGTTCTTATTCATTTGCTTTTTAGCTTTCTTCTCAGATCAGATGTACTATTACTAGAAATAAAGACAAAGAAACCTTCTAAAGGGATTTTTGAGAAAAGAAAGACCTTTCTACGAAAAATATTACCACACTGCTTTATAACAATGTTGACTTATAAGAGTTGTGTGTAATGTACTTTATTTTCTAATTCTAAAGAGTCATGCTATTAAAATGAGCTATAGATCCAGGAAATAAAAATGCCCTCACATTTTCCAGTCCCCTAAAATTATATGTTTAAATATCATAAATGTCTCAAGTAATTATGTTGGACATTTAAACAAAAGTTAAGTTATTTAAGAGTCCAGAAAATTTGGGCTGTAGATTAGATGCAGTGTAGAGTCTCTAAGAAGTTGAGTGTTGAATACCCACAAAGGCCTTAACCTGAGAGGGAGAAGGGTGCTGTGAAAATGGTTAAGATTCTGGATTCTGAGATATTTGTGTTAGGATTACAGTCCCACACCTTATTAGCTACATGACCTTGGTTCAAGTACACTGTGCATCAGTTTTCTCATTCAGAATTGTTGTGAGGAACAAGCCCAGGATAGATCTTAGAACACAGAAAGTATTCAATATTAGTCGCAACCTTCCCTAACCACTTACCTTTGCTGCACTTTCCTCACAACAGAGGGTGTTTCACACCTCATATACACAGAAATATTTCCAGAACTGAAAAATACTATAGAGAAATGAGACCAACAGCCTCCCTGACCAATTCTCAGTATCTACATTTTTATAATCCTACTCTAGTCCATCATCATCATCCCTTTCAATAGCCTCCTATTTTCCCTGTTGCTTATTTTTCTCTTCTGTCCTACCATCCATTCTCTACATGACCACCAGAATGGCCATTTTAGAGCATAACTCACAGAATACTACTTCCTTGCTTAAAATCCTACAATTAGATTTAACTCAAAATTTATGATGGTCTACCACAACTTCCTAGTCTATTTTAGCTTTCAGACTAAGTACTTCCACCACAGTAGACAAAAAATCAGCCAGTGAAAACCTTATAAATAGCAGTGGAACATTGTCTGATACACTGCCAAAAGAAGAGCTCCTAAGGTTGGAAGGCACCAAAACTAGGATTGAGGAAGAGCTGTCTCCTCAAAGTAGTCAATCTTAATGATATGGATGGAGTATAGCTTTTGAGACCTTCATTTACTGATGTGGCACAACTTGAGATGAGAAGAAACAGTTGCAAATGGTATGTATGAAGTATGAATCTAGGAAACTTGAAAGTCATCATAAATGAAATGGAATGCAAAAAGATCAATATACTAGGCATTCAAACCCACAAGCCACTCCTC